TATCTATCTATCTATCTATCTATCTATCTATCTATCTATCTATCTATATTTTATTATTTATTCTTTCTTTATTCTATCCTTTATTTAGACAGGTAAATTCCATTGAGCCATCAGAATGAAGCAGGTAAAGATAATGGATGGATGGTTAAAAAATTATATATACATATATATATACTTTGTATATATACACACATACAGATTGACACAAACTGCACGACATTACAGGAAAATGTTTGTTGTACGATGCTGCCCTCTAGTGGACGGTTTGCAAACATTTTTCTAATATTTTACATTTTTAGCTGGTTTATTTGTGAACCATTCTGTTCGGGAGAATCGTGATGCGTCTTCTGTTAAAGATTTTGCACAAACTGTCAAAGCAGCTGCATTTTCCTCTGACAGTTTGGGGCTGATTAGTCAGAACGAACTGGACCTTAGACCTGATCCAGAATCAGTCATCTTTAGTTTAGCTGTTTGACGTCATCATGCTACTGAAAGGCCTGCAGGAGTCCAACAGCCAGCTGAGACAGATAATGAATGATCACGTGAATTTAGATTAATCAAAGCTCTGCTGGTGAAGCTGCATCAATGTGACGTTGAAGTGATTTCAATTTATTGGAGAAATAAGATTCAGCTCAAATTTATATAAAATAAAGGAAAAATTGAGGAAGTAAACTTGTTCTATAAGACATTTGTACTAAATTTACTTTTGTCGTTTTCAAACATGTCTCTGTTTGTCACAAGTAAAAAAGTTTTTTCTTCATGTCTTTGCATGCTTTTATTTTGAATTGAGCTTAACGTTTGCTCCTTTGGCTGCACTGAAAAGGTGAACACCTGGTGAGTTCAGTGCAGCCAATCAGGAGGCGGCTCAGAGCAGCGGACGGAAGGTGAGACCTGTGTTTGGACAGAAGAGTCACACAGAACCAGAACCCTTGATGCTCCAGAATCTGGATATGGTGCCAAGAACTGGACCCGTGGAGGAAACTGTTGAAGCCTGGGTGATGAGTGATGCACACGCACCTGCAGGTTGGAAACCTGCTCACCTGCCCTCACAGGTGAGCGCCTGTTGAGCTTGGACATCTCTGAGTGTCTGCTTTGTGGAAACATCTGGAAACATTAGTTTTATTAAAAAAAATCAACGACTGCTGAAATTTGTTAGATTTTTTATTTTTACAGTTGTTAGAACAAGCGGGTCAGAAGGTAAAATGAGCAAAACATTAAACAAAACAGTGGCTAAAAGCTAAAACTAGCAATGCTGCAATAACAATATAATTAAATTAGCTAAACTACAACTAACAAAGTATCAGCTCAAAGCTAAAACAAGCTAAATTACTTGTCAAAGCTAAAATGAGCACAAATGCTGCTAGAAGTTAATAAAGAACTTACGTACATCGGCTAAAAGCTAAATTAAGCAGAATATGGCTAAAAGTAGTAATTAACTAAACCACAGCTAAAAAAATGGCAAAACTGGAAGCTAAAAAGTGATAAACACAAGCTAAAAGCTATAAATGGCAAAACTCTAACATGAAGCTAAAGTTAGATAAATTACAACTAAAAGCTAAACCCACCAAGACTATCACCAAAAGCTAAAAGGAGCGAAGATGGAACTAGCGCTTGTAGCTGAAGTAGATATTAGACTTTCTTTTTACGATTGAAGAGAGAGTGTATTTTTATAAACAAAGTTAAATAATTAAAGTACAGTGGTGCACACTATTCCTATCTGAACCGGATATTCTGATAGATAAACGATTAAAAATGGTACAAAGGATGCAGTTTGATTTTAAAAAGACAGACTTCAGTGTTGAAGGCGTGGCCTTCGAGTGATGAAGGTGGAGCTTTAGCCTCTAGCTGAGGAGTTTAGATTTCTGGGAGTTTGGGAGCAAAGGTCAGACAGAGCGATAGACTGATGCGCCAGGGCTTTGTTGGCAATGATGCGAGTGTTGCTCCGGTCTGTGCTTGTTAAATTAGGAGCTGAAGCAAAAGGCGAAGACTCGGATTTGCTTAATCTGTGTCACAGTCTTTAGCTGGGGATAATTATGTTGTGATTCTGAATATAACCTGCTTTAAAAGTCCATCCCAGAGCCACTGGAGCCATTCGCAGTTTAGAGTTGTCAGTGAACCTAACGTGCATGTTTTTGCGCTGTAGGGTAAAAAAAACAAACAGAGAAAACCCACTCATAACCAGAAGCCACTGCTCGTACCTACTATTTTGGATGAGGACTTTTACACAAGCTGCATACAAACAAGTCAGAGACTAAAGTGAACTTTTCAAAGCACTTAGAAAGACGGAGAACGTGCATCGATGTTGAAGTTTATTCCAGTAAAGTCTGTACATTGGTGACAACAGAGGAGGCAGAAACAGGTGATCCCTGCTGAGACGAACCTGATGTTTAATTATTTATAGCGACCTTCTTCCTGTGTTTGTAAATGTCAAACTGAGTTCATGTTTACCCCTCCATGACCTGCAAGGGTCGAGATGTTCTGACGTCAGCCACTAGATGGCGACATTTTCCTGCAAATGAACCTGGAGCTGCAGAAAGTTGGTGAGTCTGTGATGATGCCCTTTTACAACAATCTGAAAGGTCTTTAAGTTCTGTTGAATGAGCAGCATGGTTCTGATGTTCTCCAGATCCACACCAACGTGTTCAAATCTCCAGAAGAACAGAACCCCCCCCCCCCTGCTGTTTTCTTCACACTGGTTCTGAAACTTCATCCAATCTTGGTTTGCAGCCTGATCGGTCCAAACTCTGTGAGGTCTCAGAACCAGGAGTCACAGTTCGTTACACGGAGTCAGAACTACAGAACCGAGTGTCGGCTACAGAAACGTTGACGTTAAACCCAACAAATAAACGGTGATGGAACAGGAAAACCACCTTCTCGCATAAGAAACATGACTGAAAGTCCTGCAACCTTTTAAACTGTTCTGTTTTAACAAGGTGCTGCTGGGTTTGGATCAGAACCTGGGACTGTGTCAACCAAAATCCCACAACTTTTCTCCTCCAGAGACTCAGGTTCTGTTCAGATTTTCATAAACACTTGAAAAGAAAAAGCAAAACTCTTTCAGCCGAGCTTCAAGCCACAAGTTATTCTTCATAATCTGCATGTCTTTAAATAAATGCAGCTTCGAATATATATTAAAAAAAAAATCTGCAAACAAAAATCAAAATTTCCGTTGCGTGGAAAGTTTCCTGCAGGACAAGAACTCTTTTTCTGTTTTAGTTGTTTTCCAAAACGCTTTCATTTCAGCTTCTACTAACTTTTTTTTCTATTAATTATTTAAAGTCATTTAAAAACTCCAAACAACAGCTTAAAGCACAATTTCTGGTTTAGAATAAATTACTCAAAGAACTTGTCATCTGCTACATAAATTGATTTACTTAAAAACAAAAGATAAGCACAATTTAAAATACATTTTCAGTCAATCTGTGTCCATTTTTACTTGAATATAAAGGTTGGCCTCAGCTGATGGAGCAAAATCATTTGATACGTTGCAGAAAACCTTCTGATCCAAAATACAAAATAATTAAGACTGTAATTTTCAGAACATGCATAATTAAGTGGATCTTGTTTGCTTTCTCTGCGAGACATTAAAAACAGAGGAAATGCAAAATTGAGCCTTTTTTTTTCCTGCAACAAATGACACTCAAACATTGTATTCTTGTGAGAACCGGCTCCCTGCATCAGGGAAGATTTGAAAACACCTCAGATATATTTCAGGAGTAAACCTGGCAGGAAGAAGTGCAGCTTTGTGTACTAAAAATGTTCAAAAATTAAAAGCAGCGTGTGGATTATAAGTGGTTAAAAGGGTAAATATTATAAACAGTGCATATATATTGATGCTGCAATAAGTTCAGTTTAAATATTCTGCTGAAATATAACACAAATGGCACAGATGAACAGAAAAAAAACACATTCTGTGTGTGCAAAATTCTTGTTCCATCGCTGTTGAAACAAAATGTTTAAGTTCACAAAAACAGAATTTATCCTATATATCAGCTTTATTGATATATTTAACAAAAATAAGAATTGGATTATACAATAAGTGCCAGGTCTGCAGCGTTTTGTGTATTTATACTAAGATAAAACTCAGTTATAGAGATTATAAATGTTTGCACGTGCTACAAAGGCAAACAGGAAACATTACTGAAACTTCTTTAGAAGAAGAAAGTTTGTCAGGTTCGTGAAAGTTTATTTTCTTTTTTTTAACCAAAAGGCCTCTGGGCTTTCTTCATCCAGGAGTCCAACAAACATCAACAACAACATATTTATGTGGCTGCACGTGAGAGGCAAACGTGAAAGTGGGACAAAAGATCCGTCCAGGAATCCTTCAGCAAAAACACAAGATGTCCGCTTGTTTGCGCAGATGTGCGCGCATTGCTCACATGACGCACGGTTTGATGTCCTGACACACGCTCTGCGGGTGGTGGTGCGGGTGGTGGTGGTGGGGGTGGTAGTAGGAGCCGCCGGCCGACGGGTGGAAGGACGAGATGCCGTTAAAGTTCAACACAAAGTCCTTCCTGTCGCACACGGACGAGTGGCTCTGATAGCGCGGGATCCCCACTGCGGAGACAAACAGCGTGCGTGTGAGAAGTGCGCGCGGTGCACGCACACACAGTTTAAAATACAAAAAAAACAAAAAAACATCCGAGTTTGACCCCCAGGAAGGTCAATGTCTGATTTTATGTTGTTTTTATTTATTTATTTATTTATTTATTTATTTCTCCGTCATCTGCCGTAAAAAAAACAAACAGTTAAAAAACATCTGATTATTTTTTAATTTAGATTTTTATTGTTGTATTTTTGCAGCCCCATCAAACGTGTTAATAAATCTTAAATACATTTTGACTTCTTTCATAAACGGAGGACTTTTCTTTGCGCAAATATCCTGATTTTAATACATTTATTTGTTATTTTCAGATATAAAACATACTTTAGAAAACTTTTTTAGATTTATTTACAGAAGCAAACTAAATAAAATAAAAATAAATGTTTTTAAAACGCGTCAGAAATGAAGCTCCAGTTTGAAGCAGGTGATCCAACGCACTGGAAATCAAAAGATTTAAGAGAACCTGACGCGGGGTCACAAGGACTCCAGATGTGACTCCAGATGTGACTCCAGATGTGACGGTGCGGCTCGCTGCCTCGCGCCACTCCTGTGATTGACAGGACTGTCACCGGCCCCTGCGTAAAGGTTCCGGGCCCACCGCGGCCGGTGTGGTCCGACCCGCGCGGCCTGTTTGGTTAACCTCTGGGACCCCCCCGGGCTCCAGCGTGAGTTTGAGCTCTGCTGCAACAAATGAGGCTGAACTGTTTTTATTTTTTCTTCCTCTTCTTTATTAATTATCATCCCGTGACTGAAGAAATAAACTGTTTGATTTTTGTTGTAATTTTTACTTTTATCATTATAACATTAAATATCAACGAAAAGCCGCAATGGTTTTAAAAATGCACGCGCATAGGTTATAATTTAATACTTCCGTTGCAAAGATTTGATCAAATGTGCGTTTTTAAACATTATTAACTTGCAGTAATGTGAGAGAAAATAAACATTTAATCTTAAAAGGAGTTTTAATAATCTGTTTTTGTTGCACAATTAAATAAACTTTACAGTAGGCTACTCTAAAATGATCTGATGTGCAAACGTACTAGTTTGATTTTATTTTTTAATTGTCACAGAGACTTCTGCTGCAGATGTAAACTACAATGTAAATAAATCAAATCAAATGCATGTTGGTTCTGCAGATACAGGTAACTCGATGGTTCTGGTCGTGCTGAACTGGTCTGGTACCTGAGATGTCGCTGGAGTGGCTGTCCCTGCCGTTCTGATGGAGGTAGCTCTGCTCCAGAGAATAATGAGACACCCCGGAGTGTAAACCCGAGGAGGCCGCGCTGCTGGAGGCCAGAGGCTGCTGTTTGATGTAGGGGGGCCCGCCGGAGGACGCCCAGTGCGCCGATGTGCTGGCGTACGGGGAGTGTCCGTCCAGCGCGCTGGCCATGGCCGGAGAGGACGGAACCGGGCTGCTGCTGCTGTCCGGCCCGTACTCTCCGCTCGGGGGGACGGGGCAGCTCGCCATGTACGTGGAGCCGGGGCTCGGGGACATGTGAGGGACGTGGTGGCCGCCGCTCAGGCTCTCGTACCCCCCAGCCATGGAGTTGCTCATCATGTCCAAGTTGTAGCTGTTCCCGTGACAGGCGAGGCTGGACGGAGGCTGAAAGTCAAAGCTCTGCGGGAGGATGGAGGTTCCGAAGCCGATGCCGTTCATCATCCGGTACATGGGCTTCAGAGCTTGGCATTTTCTTCTGAAGCCTCTGGGTCTGCGTCGAAACGAGCCCTCCTCGAACATGAACTCACTGCCCGGGTCGATGGTCCAGTAGTGGCCCTTCCCCGGCCTGCCCAGCCCTTTGGGCAGCTTGATGAAGCACTCGTTGAGCGAGAGATTGTGCCGGACCGAGTTCTTCCAGCCCTGATATGAACCCCTGAAGAACGGGAAGCGAGCCTGCAGGAACTGGTAGATCTCGCTGAGGGTCAGCCGTTTGGTGGGGGAGCTCTGGATCGCCATGACGATGAGAGCGATGTAGGAGTAGGGAGGCTTTTCCGGCCGCCTCAAACCCGAACTCGCCTTTTTCCCTTTCACGCCCGAGGACGAAGTTTCTGAGGCGGCCTGCGAGCTGAGCATGGCGGGGTGCAGGACGCCGGACGCCGGGCTGGATCTCAGAGAAGGCGGAGGGTCCAGCTGCTGCTGAGGGGTCTCGGTCGTCATGTCAGCTCTGACGTACAGCTGGCGTAGAGCGAGGAGAGGGAGGGAGCGGACACGAGCTGTGGAGGGGTTCACGAGTTCCAGTGGTCTACGTCGATGCTGCACAAGTGGTCCCCTGAATCCCGGCGCGAAATGGAGAGAAATCTGTCTCCAGTTACGCACGACGATCTGGTTACGCACGGTGCTCCTTTTTGACGCACGGCGGGTACGCACTGACAGAGGGAGGAAGAGGAAGGGAGAGTGGTGATGGTGGAGGAGGGGGAGCTGGTTATCCACTGGAGACTGAGTGTCCGGGGCTGGAGCCTGACTCGGGGGCTCCACTGGGTGTCACACCGGCGCTAAGTGGCGCTGTGTGACGCGCCGGGTGGCCATCGAGCGCCTTAATGGAGGACGCACAAAAACAGTGGGACTTTTTGCGCGCAGAAGTCCAGACAAGCAAACCCCGACCACCTATCATTCCATAAATCTTTCCTCCCTCTGCGGGAGCCCCCCCCCCCCCCCTCCGCATTCTGCGCCAGCAAATCTCACAGAAATCAGTGACGAATTCAGCCTCCACCCCCCTCCCACGCTCTCTCCAAATCTGGCCCAGGTCCACTTCTACAGTTCTGAGCAGCCCCTGATCCTCTGCAGTTCTCGTCCTCCATGTCCCCTCCCACCCCGGACAGCGCGCAGTCCGACCATCCATCAAACCTCCTCCTCCAATCAGCAGCGCGGCCATTTTCATCTGCAGCTGAACATTAACTTTCAAGAAACTCGCCACAGAATATCCTGATGCATGCTCAAAATGCTCAAAAGCTCGAGGAGTTTTGGAGCCGCGGCGCTGGGGGTCTCGTGCTTTCTGCACCCAAAGCAACTTATTTGTATTATTTCTGCTCATAATTTCCTCCCAATCTGGTCCAGAGGATAACAAAAACAAACTGTCGCGCCGGTTCTGGAGCCGAGGAGTGTGAGAGCTGAGGAGGCGGTGGTCCTTACCGTGCGCGTGGAAGCGACGGGGTGGGGTAGGGTGGGTGGAGGGGGTCTCTTTGAGTAAATGACTTTGACATGAGTGGAAGCAGGCTTTTTCCATCAAGCCCGGCCCTGGATACCACACACAGCGCCGCCAGTGTCAGCTTACCGCCCCGGGCCAGAGCCTGTCCCCTGGGCCCCCCCGTTCATTAGAGAGAGAAAAGCGAAATTAGGCGAGCGGGCGTCGACAGTTTCCTCCCCCACGGAGCCATCACACACAGATTTGTCCAACACGATGGAGTTATATGTCCCATAAAGGTAACATCAACATCCGGAAGAATTAAAAACGTGCGAGTTCAAAAACTCAAATAAGAGATTTGATCAAACTGGGAATTAGAAATTAATTCACATTTTAAAGGTTCTTCTGTCCCCCCCTCTTTCCAAAAGGCCTTTTTAAAATTACAGTGAAGTCTTGAAGACCAGACAAATACAAATTCATAATGTTCTCGTATTTATTGTTGCGTCTTTACATTAATGGAGCAATTGCAACCAGATGCCAAAATACCCTAAAACAACCATAAGTTCAGTTTATCCAGATGTTTTCTAAAGTATTTGATGCTGCGCTGGTGGTGGTTCTGGACTTTTGTTTCTTTTCCAATCCAGTTCAGACCACAGAAGGCCTAAAGGGTCGAGCTTCCACGTGGTTTTCAGCACGTTCTCTTTGTTTACATTGAGTGCGACCCGAGTTTGAGAATTTCATATCTGCAGTAAACTCTGTCAAACCCATTTGATGCATTTAGGATTGTCTTGTGATTTCTTTTGACCTAGAGGTTTCCTAAAACAATAACAGGCTGCAGTAACCTTTACTTTACACAACAAAGGCTTGGTGGATAAAATAATTTTCCTTTAACTCTCTCACACACAACTTGGACCTCAGCGACTTCCTGCAACATCAGAACTCGTGACCCCCGCTGAGACCAGGATGCCTCGGTCTGCTGAGGAGATCTTTGTTCTGGACTCTTTGAAGGCTCTGATCCGGACGGATTTACGCGCCGGAGCTCAATCTGGGGTCTAATTTTGTCTTTTGGAAACATGCAGAGAGCTCGACACTCTGAGGGGTTCTGCTGGTTTAATGCAGAGCTCAGGTAAATTAAAGGATCTTCAACAAAAACTGATCGTGTTTTATAGAAAATATATTTAAAACTGATGAACGTTGATTCTTGTTTTTATCTAAAGAACAATCAGTAGAAATTAAATTGACTTGCATCCTAATAGATTAAATCAGTGTTTTAAAAGTATCAGAAGTTTTAAGACTGCAGTCCTTTCTGTCTCTGATGTCCTTTTCCTTCTGGCTGCGCTTTTGTCCCGCCGCTCTGCGTGTTTCCTGTGCGGTGCCGGGAGCTTGGAGCGGCCTCTGCGGGACTCTGGGAGGTCAGGCCCGGTTCACCGGAGTGACGGACTGTTTGGACTTCCTAACATTGTGCCTGCCCCGAAGTTTACTTTCATTCCACTGCAGCTCGGAGCAGAGCCACAGTTCCTCCTGCTGCGGCTGGAACCGAAGCGCGCGCGTTTGGCTGGAAAATCCTTGATTGGAGCCACGTGACTGCACCTCAGCCAGGTGTGCTGTTCCCGGCTTTCACCTGCAGGTTGCAGCATCGTCCCTTCAAACAGGAGCAGGTCTCACCTGGCACCTGTCAGCCAGTCCACCTGGACCTCTGCGGGTCGGACCAGCAGAACTAAACCTGTTTTATTAAACACGAGCACATTGAATGCACACAAATATGTGGACCTTTAATATTAATATAAATGGTAAAAAGGTTTTATGTTGTTCGGTTTTGCACCAAAAATAACTTTTTTTTTGTGTATTTTAGCTCTTTTTAATAATTTATATATTTAAACAAAAATGTAAAATTTTCAGCAATTAATTACAGAAAATATGCTGCATTATATATTTTATACAACAATCTGAACCAAGTTATCAGTTTATAAAATGGTTTATTGGCGCCAACTTATAATTAATTGTAATTTTTAGAATGTAAAAACAAGTTCAAGAAAAAGAAAACAGAAGAATAAAAGATTTACTGTAGGTCATGACGGTGTTCAAACTAATTTTATGCTGAATAACTAAAAAATAAAACATGTGGAATATCATTTTGTTGGGTTTTAGGGGGTTTAGCAGACAGCTGCTGGGTCTGGGGTCTGTTTCAGGACCGCGGAGAGCAACAGAACCCGTCCGGACCCGGACACATAAACTGCACTACTGTGCGCATGCGCCATTTTCTGCGCGTTTAATGAGTCGCTTTTGTGGAGCTAATTAAAAGGGTTTTTTTTTTTGTTTTTTTTTTAATAGGCAAACTATTTTATTATCAAAACGCAACTTGCATCAGATGATATTTGATTGCACCTAAATTAATCAATTAACTATAAAAATTATTCAGGCAAGCCTGAAAATGGTTCCGTTATTTACCTTTTAGAATGAAAAATATATTTTTTTTTATTGTGTAAGGTTTGTTGCAGGTCCTGGCTGCTCTGGAAACAGAACTTTAAACTTTTTTTACCTGCAAGTTTCTTTACATAATGGAGCTATATACAT